GACCCGAAGGTTCCTGGGCGCTCTCAGCAATAACGCGAAGCTTGGGACAAGGTTGGAGGAGAAGCAAATGAGCTCTGTTTTGGAAATGTTGAGTTTGATGCCTGCAAATCATCCAGTATGAAATGTCTAATTGGTAGTTGGTGACAGGACCACAGCTCAGGAGAGAGACTAAGGCTGAATATAGAAATATAGGAGAAATTATCATTGCTGATATAAAGTATTTGAATATAGAGAAAAAAAACCAGGACAGAATCTTGGGGGGAGGGTACCCATAGTTGGTATAGGTACACTTGTACATACTTAAGATAAGTGGCCATTGACAGTACTGTGAGCCCATTTACCAGATGACAATGTTGAGGCACCTAGAGGTAAAACAGATATTTTTGGAGGTAAGCCAAGACAAAGGGGACCATAGCTCACATCTCCAAGGGTATTTCATATTCCATGCAGATTCATAGGTTACTTATGCTGGGGGACCTCAAGAAACTGTCAAGATAGACGAACTAGCCTGACTAGGCCCGCAAAGTTGGAACCCAGGTCTCCTGACTCTTAAACTCCCTTTATACCATAGCACAAAAGCTCCATAAGTTTTCAACAATATTGATAGGCATCCTCAATAATACATTGTCTGTTTTAATTGAGAGCCATATCAGATCACAGGCAATTTAAAAGAGTGGATAATCCAGAGGGGTCTTCTTTTGCTGCCAAACTGCCTCAGCCCACTTCTCAGAACCTCTTCCTTCTTACTATTGTTGTTCAGTCATTTTATTCTTATCTCACTCTTCATGACCCCATTTGAGGTTTTCTTGGGAGATACTGGAGTGATTTGCCATGTCCTTCTCCAGCTCATTTTACAGATGAGGAACTGAGACAAATATAAGAGACTTGCCCAAACAAAACTATTTTCTTGATCTTTACGGCTTATAGTCAAAGATGATTGTTATTTTTTTAACTGTCTTGCTCCAGAACAGAGGCTCTTAACCTAGGGTCTATGGACATCTAAGAAGCCCATGGCCAAAATTTCAGTGGAGGCTGTGAACTAGGAGGGGGAAAAATTACATCTTTTTCACTTTTCTAACTAAAATTTAGCATTTCCTTCCATTACGAATGTAGGCCAAAAACAACACAGAGCAAAACATTATGCTGTGAAGGGATCCATAGGCTTCACAAGACGGCTAAAAGGGTCCATGACATTTAAAAAAAAATTTAATTACCTCTGCTCTATTTAAAATAAAAGCAATTTAAATTCTATAATTCTTCACTTTATGATTATACATATATACACAAAAGAAAATCACAGCTTATAAAACATAATTTAAATTTGTATTATTATTTTAATTGTTAAATGATTCTTGCTTTACAAAAATATTCACTAAAGATTTCTTTTAACTACTGAGCTCTTCATTACATAAGTTTAGCAATCATTTAACTGGCTGACAGAGAGCCTCAGGTAAAGAACTACTTAAAGCCAAAGAGTTAAGAACAACTGTTTACTGGAGAATCAATCAAAAATTTAGACAAAGAATCTCTAAAATTAGAGTCACAGAATTTTAGAACTGGACATCTTAGAAATCATCTAATCTAGCACTCATAGGAACCTGAAGCTGAGAAAGATGAACTCATTTGCTCAAGGTCACATGATGAGCTAGCAAGATTAAAACCCAACTATAATGTTAACTGATTGGGGGAAAATTGATTTATAATTTTGAAGAACACATTTGCTTATATTTTATTATCATTAATTATTTAATCTTTACATTTTCTTGTACATTTATTATAGTCAGAAGACTAGGTGAGCAAAGGGTACAGCTTTTAAAGCTAAGAATCAACAGTTCTGGCCCTGGTCAAAACTGAAGTTGGGAAGAATTTGAAAAACTAATTTACATTAAGATGAAAGCAACAGATAACGTTTTGTGTATTGCCCTCCTGATATTTGTATTTCAGCAGAGGAACTTGAATTACTATGTAAATTACAAAAGGTGCAATTCCAAGCATCTGTGACATGTAGGTGTTACAAGTACTTGGAGCAGAAGAAGCCTTCCTGGCATCCTTCAATACCATACCTGTGGCTACCCATAGAACCTACCCCTCTGGCCATTCTCAGAAATTAAAATCCAGAGCTCTCCTATTCAGTCAACACTGGCTAAAATCTCTGGAAGATCTCATAACTGGGACTGAAGATCATTTGTTACTGGTCTAAATGCCCAAAAGCATTATCAGTAGAGAGGTAACTACATAGAAGTCTTGTTATACATGATTACAGTCTTTTAAATTTTTTTATTCTACTGCAGAATACAGACTCTGGAGAGGCAATTTTATAATTTTGATAGCTGAGATTTGAAGTATTTTACTTTGTTTTACTATTAACAATTTACTCAGTACAGTTTCTTGAATTTAGCAGTTTTTTCTAAATTTTGGGGAGATCTGATTTCATTTTGCTTTTACTACTAATCTGTAAATTTCCTCAGGGCAGGGACTAAATAATTTCTCGCTTTTTATCCACACTGCCTCACACACATAATAGGCATTGAATAAATGTTGACTGAATTGAATTTCATTCATTTGTTCCCAAAAGAAAGGGAAAAGGAAAGAAAGAAGAAGAAAAAAACAAAGAGGAAGAGGAAACACCAGTTCCATGCAAAGTCGTGGAATTAAACCTTGACAAAGAATGGTGCCTTCCTAATGACCACGATTTTTGCAATTATGTCACCGAGGTGTCCAAAACAATTTTGCCTATGACAGATCTCAAGGAGCAGATTGAGACACTTGCAGAGTAAGTGGTATTTTTTTTAACTTACATTATTTGTTTTGAAACAATTTTCCAAATTAAATGCATTGGGAAAAACAATCACGCAAACATGTTGAGCTCACTGTAATCCTTTACATGGACCATTTCTGCCCAGACAGAAGCATTTCTCACTGTCTAACTCTGACCAGAACCTAAGCCACCTTGGGAAAGATCTCATAACTTGGGCAATTATTGAAATTCTGTTCATTGTCACATTCCCATCTAGAATTGAAGTTAGCAGTTGGAAGATAACTCTCTCCCTCTCCCCAAAGTTGTCTTTCTTCCTAGTTAAATATTACAGACATATATTCCTCTATACACTGAAAGGGGGCCTAAAAAAACAATATATAAATACAATTTTTGTAAATCACATCATATTTTATATGCATAGTGTTCTCTGTGAAATGTGAAATATTTTCCAAAGCCGAAAGTTCTTTCGCAAAGCATGTGTCCCCTAATTTATCTCTTTTGTTAGATCCAGATTTTAGTTAGCATTTCAGGTTTATTTAAAGTGGGTTGTATTTTTGCTGTTAATGTATCTATGGATTAGTTAACTAGGGCATAATTTATTTCAGTTCCTTCATCAGAGATCTTGATTTGATTCCACTAATGGTGAGGTTAAAATTCTGAATTGGAAACTGTATGGAATTGATACTCCTTGTAGAAAAAAAAGAAACAATTGTGATTGACACTAGCCAAAAGGAAGGACTGTTGCATTCTACTCCAGCTGCAGGCTCCATGGGGTCCATACATCTGCTCCAAGTGGAAGGAGGTTGCAGTAATCAAGTCTGGATATGATGACTGCATAGACCAAGGTGCCAAATCACCTAGTTTGGCCCAAACGGGAAAAGAGCATTTGTTGCTACTAAGGGGATTTTGGCTCACTAAAACACACATACCCACATATGTACATACATACATATATACACGTATATCTACACACACATACTTACTTACGTACTTACTTACATACGTACATACATATATATTTTTGAATAGGAATTTCTCCTGTTTGCTTGATTTTTGTACTGTTAACATTCTCAAAATAATACTATGATGATTTCCTGATGGCACAACTCAGCTAGGAGAGATGTAAAGTATGGAACTCTAGGAAATTTGTGTTCCTTTTTCATGAAGAAGAAATGCAGCTTTAGGCGAGGAGCCTTTCAGCTCTTTTCTCCATGGTTCTCATTTTCCCAAATACTCCCTTTGCTAGAGGACCGGGGAGCCTGCTCAGGAAGATTCTGATTTCTGCCTTTGCTCCCTTTTGTATCCCTGGCCTTGGCATGGGTGCCTGGGAGCAGGCATGCAGGGGGATCTTGCTAGGCTGCTTTGGTGAATTTAGAGGTTGCAGGAGAAACAAGGGCAAAGACAAGTGATTCCCATGTGGCATCCCTCTAGGCTCCACTACCTGCTCTTGTTTTTCCTCCTCCACCTCCTCTTTCTCCTCCTCCTCCTTCTTTTATCTTAATGTAATTAATTCATTTTGCCTGCAATTTAAAGGGGAGTTTAAACTGAAGAAGAAGAGCTGGAGGGGAGAGGGTGGAAGCAGGTGGACTGCCTATGTCTACCAAGCTAAACATTATGGAAAACATCAAGATGATAGGGTCAGTAACTGCAATGAAGATACCCAGAAATTGATCAGGAAAAAAATTTCAAGAAAAGAACTAGTAACACAATCTATAGTACCAGATGTTTATACACATATATAAAATATGGCAAACAAGCAAGATGAACTAGAAAGCCTAAAACAATGAGGCAAATTTGTCCTCATAACATCAGTGAGGCTGAAACCACTAACTGGAGCATGGTTCTACGAGGGGGTATTTTGTACAAAAGAGACATGATAGGTTAGAAGGGAGAAGGGGCAGGTAGCATTTCCCATTATGGTGATATACTCATGGGAGAGGTGGTTCAGCAGAGCCATAACTAGAAATTTTTGTAGATAGAACAAGCAATATAAACTATGCCTAGGGTCTACAAAGCCCTCATTTGGGAGAAGTGGGATTGGGTATTACCTTGTGGCCTCTGGATATTTGGGGGCCTCTTTTGGAGGCTTCCTATTTATACCAGTTATTTTTGATGACAACCAATCAATGCAAATACTTGTTAGCTGTCTACTACATGCCAAATATTGGGAATATGAAAAGAAAAATGAAACAGATCTTTCTCTCAAAGCATTTATTTTAAATTGGAGGGAAAGTACAAATACAAGTAATACAAGGCTAGGGATTCCAACAGGTGGGAATAGGGAGGGTATGTTCTGGGCATGAGGGACAACCTGGAAAAAAGCACAGAGGTAAAATTATATTTGTGAGAAACAGCAAGAAAGTCAGTGTGGCTGGACCCTAGCGTTTAGGAATGGGAACAATGTATAATGAGCCTAGGTGGAGCCAGCTTCTTGGGGACTTACATACCAAACGGTGAAGTTTGTATTTGATCTTAGGATAATAGGAACTACTGGAATTTACTGAGGGGAGTGACATGGTCAGATGCCTGTTTTAGGAATATCATCTGGGCAACTCTGTGTGGATTGGAGAAGGGACAAATGTAAGGCAGGGAGATTAATTAGGAAGCTGTTACAATAGTCATTATGAGAGATGATGAGTAAGTACTGAACTAGGATGGTAGCTAGAGCAATAAAAAAGAGATTATAAATGCAAGAGCCATCATGGTAGCTGCAGATTTGTGTCTGAACATCTGACACCCAAGGACCCACATTCCTTAGGAATTAGGGGTACAACGGCAAACACAATCTGATGATTTGGAGGAAAGATTAAAAAGGGCTTGAAGCTAACACTGCCCTCCCCCCCAACCCGCCCAAAAAGATATCAAAGCATTATATTAGAGCTTGAAGAGATCCTAGGAGGATCTAGGCCAGCTCCTTATTTCTACAGAGGCCCCCAACTTGCCCAAATTTACAAAGGAAGGCTCATTCAACTCTTGAGGTAGAGTCAAATGCAACACCAATTTCATAGACTTACAACCATTGGAGCTAGAAGGTATTAATCCTTCATTTTACAGAAGAGACCCTGAGTAGATACTCTTTTTATTTACTTATCTGTAAATATATTATATTGCATAGCAAAATGTAAGCTCCTTGAGGGCTGAGATAGTTTTACTGTTTCTTTTGTTTCCCTAGTACCCAACTAGTGCCTGTAATGTAGTTTGTATTTAATAAAGTCTTCTTCAATAGAACTATAAATTAACCACCAAAAGAGGAAAAACAGATGGATTTATATTTTTCTATTATATATTAAAAGAACAATTAACCCCTTTGCCACATAAACAGAATTAGAGAAACATTTTAAAACTCCTACAGGCTCTGGGATAAAGACTAAAGGGAAACTGGAGCAAGGGAGTGAACTGATTCCACAGGAACAAAGGTTTGAAATGAAAATATGGACACTAGAGAAAAGGAAGAAGTCCATCGACACTGGGCCATTCCCCAGACCTCCAATAGCAGTGCATGAGACTGGAATTATGACAAATTGGTGCCATTCATTTTTCAGGATTATAACTATTATTATGGTAACCAGACTCTACTATTAATCCTCTTTCTATTCTTTACATGCCTTTTAACAAATTGTGTTTGGTTTAATGCTCTCATAAGCCTGGCTTTCCTGATGGGGGACTGGAAAGGCCCCAAAAGAAAGACCCCTACCAAGGAGATAGACGTAAGCCAAAATCAAATCTTTCCCAGTTTTCCCTGGGTGGGGGTAAAAACAAGCCATTATTGAGAAGTCTGCAGGATTGAATCCTGTCCAGGTGAGCTCAGAGCTGTGGTTCTTGGGGACCTCTGGAGAAATGCCTCTATCTTGGGGCAGTTAGGTGGCGCAGTAGATAGAGCATTGGCCTGGAAGTCAAGAGGACCTGAGTTCAAATCCGGCCTCAGACACTTGATGTTTACTAGCTGTGGGACCCTGGGCAAGTCACTTAACCCCAATTGCCTAAAAAAAAAAGAGAGAGAAATGCCTCTATCTTGTCTCAAGTTCCTGGAAAGAAGAAGCTATGTGTTGGGTCCAGGATAATAAGCTAAATCACTCATGTTTTAAAAATTAATGTTAAAGGACAGTTATCATAATACAAATTTTTAACTACATGGTCTTTAATTCATTTTGGATTCTATACATGATCACGTGGGACTGATTTTTGTTTCGGTTTCTAACAATTGAGAAATTATCATTAATTTTCAAAATGCTTCTTCACATTTAATGAAGTAACTAGAGTTGTGGCATGTCTGAATGGCCTGCAGGCATTGCATTGTTATATTAACTTAATGTTAAGCCTACTTAAAGTAATTGAACAATTAAAAAAAAACAAAGATCATAAGGAAATTTTTATGTAAAATGTCTTTTGTGTTTGTATACATGTAATTTTGCTATAAAGGATCATCAGTAAGATCTCTAAGACTGATTTATTTTCTCTCAATTTAAAGGTTTGTGGCAGGAAAGATGGGTGGTCCAGTTTCAAGAGAGTTGCTGCATGAATTCAAGTGGGAACATCACATAAGTGAAATAGAATTTCAACTAAAATCCAACGTCGTTCCTATTGGATATATCAAGAAAGGAACCTTCTACCACCGAGCTCTGCTTTTCAAGGTGTGTTGACATGCCTAACTCATAAAAATCACTGGAGTCACTGAGAAAAAAAGAACAAACTCATGGCAAGCTCAGAGCAGAGTAGCTTTGGATTCACTTTATCCAAATGACCGAGATCAAATGACGTCATAATGTTCAGTGAAATCTTTCACCCCAGACAACAGGAAGCAAGCACACTTCCTTTCATTCCTGTTGCTTGTGGCCTAAACCACAGACCTTTGTACAAGTGACCTGGAAATCTCCTTTCACCTGGGCAGCTGGTTCTTGGTTGTCTTCAAGCCATTTTCTCTGGTCCCCAGCGGAAGCTCTTTTCTGGCTCCCGTGGGGCAAACTAATGTGGCCCTTATTTTCCCTTAAAAGTTCAGCTCAAACCCCCACCTCCCTAATCCCTGAAAAAGAGAGCATTCTCACTACTTCAGAGGTAGCCTGGCACCTTCTCTACCTCCTCCCTCCAACAAAGTCATTTAATCTTACTCATTTTATGATCTCAGCTATTCAGCACAAACTGAGGTGAAGGGTCTGGCAATTATCTGGATAATTCAGGCAATAAAATCAGCCTTTGCTTCAGTTAGCAAGTTAATTAAGACAAAGAGGGTGGGTTTTCTCCCCTTCAAAATAGCCCTGGTAATTGTGGCTATAGAGGAGCTATGTGAAAGAAAGGTTTTTGTGACATTTTCTGAAACTGATTGATATCAACTCTGAGCCCAGTTTCATTTTTAAAGGGAAATACCTCATTAATAATTTACCCAGAAAAGACATTTTCTTCCAAGCTAGTTGAGGGTCCCTTGACTTCTCTTACAAATGCTTAGTACCATTTTTAAAAGACAAAAAAAGAAAATATTTCAATTTTTGCCCCGGTTAAAAAAAAAGAAAGCATAGCTCACTTTTCCTAAGAAAGGACAGAATTACCTTGTTTACTCCCATCAGCTTCATTTGCTTTGCTCCTTGACATTTCACTTTAACATTTGGATGCATCGGGGAATTGTGGGAATCATCTGGATCCTAGTCCCCATACACTCCTCCTTAATTTTCCATGTTTACTCAAGAACAGTACTTTACCCAGAGTTATTGCAATTGGTAAAGCTTGTTGGAATTTCTCCCTTTCATCAACAACTACTTTCTGCTTGGAACTGAAATGCTGCTTGGAGCATAATTGAGTGTGGGGGGGGGGAGTAAGACAAAGAAAGCAATGAGGAGTGGGATGATTAGTAGGTAATTGAAAGGTACTTTTCATACATAGGGATTCATTCATAGATAGGATTTAGAATTGGAAGGAGTCCTAGCAATGATCACGTCTAAACCTCTCATTTTACAGAGAAGGAAACTGAGGCCACCAAAACGTAAGTGTTTTGCCCAAGGAGGCACTATTTGTGCCCTATCTGTGGTAGAGCCTTCCAAACTCATACGGGTCTGATCAGCCACAGTCAGACACACTACAACTTGACTCCAACATAGTGGTGTCATTTGGTCCTCTTCAAGCACAAAGAATCGTCACCAAACCAAGAACTAGACAAGGGCTTAAAGGAGAGAGCCTGGTTCAGGTAAAAGAACATTGACTCTGAAATCAGAGGACCCGGGTTCAAATCATCCTCCCTGTTGCATTGGGCCTCAACTGCAAGACGAAGGAATTGGACCAGATGGGGGAGAAGGCAATAAGCACATATGTGTGTGCCTGGTGCTTTGAACAAAATGTTTCATTTAATCCTCACAACTGCCCTGCAAAGGAGGTGCTGTTAGCCCCATTTTACAGTTGAGAAAATCAAGGCAAGCAGAGATGAAGCGACTTGCCCAGGATCACACAAGTTAGTAAGTGTCAGAGGCTGAATTTGCACTCAGGTCTTCCTAACTCTGACCCAGTGCTTTAACTACTGTACCACCAGTTGCCTGTGAAAACCTAAAGTACTCTCCAGCTCTTCACTGTACGGTCCTCTGGTTTGCCGGAGGTGACTTAGGCAATCAGTAACAGTGATGGCATTCAACATGAAATCTCCAGCACCACCGTGTTCTTTCTACTCTACAGATAAAGCACTGCCTAGTTAGCTTTGGGAATTCACCAAAACTAAAGACCAGCTACACTAAGCTCATTGCAGCATTAGTCAGGGGAAAAGGCAATGGATCAGGAATCTGAGACCCTGCCATTTATAACCTGCATCATCATAAGAAAATCTCTTATAACCTCAGTTTCCCCTCTGTACAATGAGGGAGTGGGACTAACCAACTTGAGACCCGTGATCCTATGATCTCCCCACAAGGTTGGAAGAGGAAAGGGAGGGAGAGAGTGAAGGGGAGAGAGAAGTGACAAGCAGCTGGACAGGAGCAGAGCAGCAAATCCGAGTTGGCAAGCCCTTGGTCTTGGAAAACAACTGGTGTTCTTTGTTCTCCCTATCAAAGAAAAAGCAGGTTGTGTTCACTGACACTTTGGTCGACTGTACTATTGTTTGTTTTAGAGAATAAGGCTAGAGTAGAAATCATGTAAGAGAATGGTTTTTCTTGATTTTTTTTTCTCAGAAATCTTCAGGGAAGAAAAACGCATGGGGGAGGGAGGTGCCTGAGGCTGCAAAGGATAGGGAAAGGGACCCGACCAGTGACTTAATTTATAAAAGGGAACTTGTCTACTAAAGCCAGTTATCCCCTTCTCTTGCAATTTACCATCTTGAGGAATTGCCTAGAACTCCCTAGA